TACAGGTGTATTTACCCAAGCAGGCCACTGGAGGACTTGACCCCCAGACTCTAGTTTGCTGACCTCTGCTTTAAGGAAGCTTCTCAAGCCCTTTCGAACTCTCAGATTGCACCACTTGGGATCTGTACCCAAAACAGACATATCTGTGGGCCACCTGTCTAGGCTGAGTGCCACCGGCCTAGTCAGCGATGCTTAGATCAGAAATCAGACAGTCCTATTTTTACCCTGGTTGGACCACTAATGTTCTGGGAATATGGCCCCGAGCATCCTCAGGTTTCCGTTTTTTCATACCTCACATGGGTTTGTGGGAGCAAAATTAAACGAGCTTCTAAGAATTCAGTGGCTTCTAAGAATTCAGGTATCATGGAAAGACCCTGTTCTTTTTAATATTCTGGGACAGTCGCTGTGGTCCACCTGTTCACCTTCCGGCCTGCCTTCACCCACCCAGGAAATTCGGCCACGCAGGCTGGTTCACCTGAAGACACCCTTCCCACCCACCGGCATCTCTCACCTGTTACTGTGGAACCCACGCCCCTTCTCACCACGCCTTCCCCCTTCTCTCTTTCAGCCCGAACCCGCATCACCAAGCCCCCCCAGGACCAGAGTGTCATCAAGGGTACCCAGGCCTCCATGGTGTGCGGTGTGGCCCATGACCCCCGGGTGACCATCAGGTATTCCCTCTTCTGTGGCTCCATGGAGGCAAAAGTGGGGGGACAGCTCTAGGGGTAGCTGTTATCTGGGCAAGTGTCTACACCAAGGAGGTAGGTGTTGCCAGTGGGGCCAAGGAATACCCGTGGGGGATCACTTTTAGAGCTCGTGCAGGGCTGAGGTGTCGGGGGCGCTAAGTAAATACCTGGAGCACTGAGCGAGCTTTAGTTGAATTGGGCAGAGGGAACGGGCAACTGGAGGAAGGAGGAAGGTGGGGAGAAGAAAGAGGCATTTGGCTCTCCCAGACCCTCTGCCCACGAAGTGAACCGAGGAAGGGTGGGTCTCGGTGAACAGAAGGGATAGGGCTGGGGCAGGGGAGGGCCCTGACATGACCTTCAAAGAGACACAGGTGAGGGGAAAGTGCCCACACTGAGGCCACCCCCATCATCCACCATGGGAGCCAGGACCTCACCAAGCTACTCGTCCCTAGAAGCAACCAGGGCTCACTGTGGAACCCACTAGAGAGGCCCAGGAGGGGCAGCTTGGTGCACAAGTAGCCAAGAAAGGCCGAAAAACCCAACCCCTCCCAAGCTTGGGACAGGGACACCTGGGAGCCAACCCCAGGGACGGGGACACCTGGGACCCAACCCCGGGGAAGGCTTCAGGAACTAAAACCAAGAGAGAATCATCCCTTTGGCTCTCTCCCTTGAACTCTGGGATGCTGAGTAAAAAAATTTAACTGCTCCCTTAGAAATAAATATTGCTTCTATTTACCTCTCTATTTTACGGACGACACCATTGCCAAAGCAACTGGCATCGAGGCTGGGCACTGATGCCACTTGGAATAATGGCCCCTCCNCCTTTCCTGTCCTGCCCCTGAGCCTGTCCCGTCCAGGATGAGAACTCTACTCCACGCCAGGGGCCTCTTGAGGACAGAAATAGGGTCCCAGAGGACTATCCCTCGGGCAGTATCCGGGGTGGCACGAGCCAGTTATGCCCGCTGCTCCCGCAGCCCCGAGTCCAGTGCCCTAGAGGAGGCCTATGTGTCCTATGATCCCTACGTGTCCTCCCCAGTGTCCTGGAGCCAAGGACAGGTTCACTGGCTCTTTGAGAGAAGAAGCTCTGAAACCAGCTCAGCCGTCCCTGGGTTCCCTCCCAGCAGGGCTGATGCGACCCGGTCCCAGCCGAGAGGACTTGCTCACTTCTCCAAAGAGGAGAACCAGCACTTGTAGCTCAACTCCCCCACTTGCAAATTCCTTCCCCCTGGGAGTCGCTTTTGGGGTTATGTTAGCTGTCCTGCCCACTGTGATGACACTGTGAGTGGCCCCACGGAAGCTCTGGGCTCTTCACTCAGCAGCAGAAGGATGGGTGGTCAGGGGCCTCCTTAGGCCCCACAGGGCTCATCACCCAGACCCACAGGGGCAGAGGGGGAGGCGGGTTTGCCGCACAGGCGGCCGTGAGGCAGGAGGGCTGCCGTCTTGCAGCTTCTCGTGAGTGCGGGTGGAGCCAGTCTGTAGGTCAGCCCTGCTCCCACACGCATCTGGCCAAATGGTTCCTTGAGGGCTGGGATTAGGGATGGAGACACAACACAAGAACGCTGCCCTGACGTCTGAAGAACCACAGCTCAGCCAGGCTGATGGACTCTCCGGGCCTGGGCCTTTTAGAAAGTGGGTGATATTCTTTTATTGGCCATCACTGTTTTCTGTTTTAAAAAACCAGCGCCTGGATTTCACGTTCAGTGAAGGATAACTCCATTGACCTTGCCATGGTGGGCTGTGAGCTGCCATTGGGGTTCTCAGGTTCCCCCATATGGAGGCTTGAGAATCAAGGCAGGGAGAGAACCCATGTCACCTGGGTCCTTCCATAGGCCGGGTGCTGTGGGGAGCCCTCTTGGGTCCCCCAGGCTTCTTCCCAATGCTGGGGACCCAGCGGGGCACCTGTATCCTTCGCCAAAGTGGNAAACTTAATCATGGGATCCCTCTTCCATGGGACCCCTCTGAACACCCTGTGGAACTAACACAGACACCCCGCCTTTGGCAGACTTGCCCTTGGGGGTCCACCAGGTGCTAACAGGAGAGCCGGCAAACCCCAGCTCATGGGGCCTTGGGGGTGCTGGGGTCGGTGATGGTGGAAAAGGGGACCCAACTCCCACCCTCGCTCCCCATCAAAGTTGGGGAGTGGGTATGTCCATCTGCCTGCCTTTGTTCCATCTCCAAACTTTGGGTGCTTCTCTCACGTCCCTTCTTGTCACTTCCCCTCACCTTTCACAGTTTCCTGTCTGATGATCTATATTTGGATGGGGCACAGTGCTCAGGGAGAGCAGAAGGGAGAGGTGCACAGCGAAGGCTGCTTTCCTGCTCTGCACTGAGTTGTCATGGAGGTGGGGGCCCATCCCAGGGCTCTACCTGCAGCCATGCAACTACCCTCAGCCCAGCCCCGGTGGCCACAGTTGTCCCATTTTACAGATGAGGAAACTGAGGCCCAGGGCACTGAAGGAACTTGTGCAGGGCTTGCACCTAGAAAGTAGGGGGGACAGGGGGCAAGCCCAGGCACCTGGCCCCCGCCACACTCCTCACCACCCCTGCCCTGCCTCCTGGGCCTCTGGAAGTCCCTGAGGCTGAGCGCCTGCTCCCTCGCCCCCTCCAGGCCCCTGATCAAGCTGCACATCATTTGGAAGAAAGATGGGGTACTGCTGTCAGGCGGCATCAGCAACTACAACCGCCGGCTCACCATCCCCAACCCCACGGGCAGCGACACCGGCTACTATGAGTGTGAGGCTGTGCTTCGCAGCAGCAGTGTCCCCTCTGTCGTCCGTGGTGCCTACCTGTCTGTGCTGGGTGAGATGGGGCAGGGCTGTTGGGAGGTCCCCTGAGGGGTAGGGACAGCATGGCTGAGGCCTACTTCAGGGGGATCCAAACAGTGGCTATATCAAAAGAAGCATGGCTCTGATCCCCTCCCCTGGTCCTCCCTCCTGCAGAACCACCTCAGTTTGTCAAGGAGCCAGAGAGACATATCACAGCGGAGATGGAGAAAGTGGTGGACATTCCCTGTCGGGCCAAAGGTAACACAGCGGGCAGCATAGATGAAGGGGGACCAGGACCCTAGACCTTCAGCTTCTCCTGTCCCTGCCACAGACTTGTCTCAATTCCACCTTTTTCTCCAGGCACCATCACTGAGCAGAGAGTCAGTCTGGCTGTGAGCAGATACCCCAGGAAACAAACAGGCCAAATTACCGTAATCTCAGGACTGGAAATCAGCCCACATTACTATAACTTGAGGGTTACAAATGAACCCAAATGACTGTTATTTCAGAATAGGTGACAGACCCAAATTGCCCATAATTTGAGAGTTGTAGACACTGCTGAATTACCGTAATGTCAGAACCGCAAGAATTTGGGCGCGTCTCGCCCGAGGTGAGCCTCAGAAGCTCCACCTGGTTTCTGGACCGTTTTGCTCCATCTCCCCCACCTACAATTTCTACTTAACACCCCTTGTCAGAGCTCCTGAAGAGTTTCTGCTTTCCCATCTCCCCCACCCTTCTGGTCCCCGAAACCAGGGTGGACTCTGGGGGCGACAGGATGTTAGGGTAGGGCGTGCTTGGTGGGACATGGTCTGATATTGAGCAGAGATGCAGAACGTAGCTCAGAAGGAGGGAGTGTGATAGTGGGCGGGGGACCCTACAAGGGAGAGGCAAGGATTCATTCGTTCAACATTTTTTTGAGGGCTCGCCGTGTACTGATACTGTTCTCGGGGCTTGGGAGATACAGAAGGAACTAAACAGCCAGATCCCAGCTATTAGGGAACTGACATTCCCAAGAGGGGGCAGACAGACCAATAAACAAATAAAGATGCCTTATTTCATTTCATCAAAAATGCCATGGGTTGTAAGATGCCCCATGGTTTTATGTACCACTAAGAAAGAAAAAAGGCTGCCAATTAAATTATGACATGCCGTAAGATTGTAAGACACGTCCTGATTGATCTCAGAGATGTTACAGTGTGAAAGAATGTAAAAGAATGTGCATCGTGAAATGGATGAAATATGGGACCGTAGGATGTCCGGGTTGAAAAGTGCTGGGTAGGAAAAGCAAGCAAGCTTAGGGGACACAGAGCC